GAATCCTCTCACTGCACCCCCCCACCTCTGGCCTGCACCCCAGTTCTTCTATGCAAAAATAAGCAATCTGAAATAATGAATTTATAGCAGTAAAATGAAAGCACTATCAAACAATGATAAGATGCCATCTATTAGTTCCAACTTGTCAGAAATGTTAAAAGGAAAAGAAAATGTCCTTTTTAGAACTAGCATTAGGTGTAACTATGATGAATGGATAAACAAATACTCCGAGTCCCATCCACATAGCCAACTCTGGGAATACAGCTGACATATGCAACAGACTTGGCCCTTTCATTGGGAAAGGTCATATTCTCTTCCTATGTACATCCAATCCATCTTTCAATCTAAATTCAAGCCATGTCACCATCCTTGGCCACTGCAGTGCAAGCTTTCCCTGTTCCAATCTATCCTACAGCTTCTTATGCCCAGTATCATTCATCTGGCATTCAATCATTAGCTGTCGTTACTTTGCGTTAAGCCTACGTGTATATGTTCACACTCTAGATAGATTCCTTTATAACAGACATTTAGTCTTTATCCTCTAGAGCAATCAGCAGAACTCACCAAAATCTAATGAGGAAAGGGGACTCTAATAAACACAAGGTTTGTATGTAATATTAATAATATATATGTATTGATATACAGAGAAGACATATACTCTATAAAACAATACTTATTTAAATTTTAAGGGATAATTCATTCTCGATGTTAAGTTTTACTAAAGTAATTTTGTGCAATGAAGCACAAAATTTAAATGTTTAAGCATTACTTTTAAAGACCACTGAATAGTAATGAAAAGCTTACCTTCTTTGAAGTATGTAAGTTGATTCTTAAATACTGGGTATTTTGAGGATGTTAATAAATACCAGCAGCATTCTACATGCAGTATATGTTATATATACCTACTCATAAAAAGCTGAAATTGAAAAACTACATTTCGGACAAAACTTAAAAACCAAGTTAGGCCTTGAAAACAACATATTCAGTCAATGGTTATTAAGTCTTGACCAATGTGTAAGATAATTTCATAGCCAATGGGAGGTCAAAAAGGTATGAAATAATCCACTGTAAATTCTGACCCCTCGAGATGGCCCAGATGTTTCTGCAGCCTCTTGTCAAGATGTTTTCAAGTACATGCCTCCACAGCTAGAATCACAGAGAGAACATAGTGTACTCATCCTAATTTCAAAGTGCATGTGTACCATATGCACTGGTAATAAAGGTAGTCTGCAAATATGAAGGTAAGTTTACCAAGAATCACCTACAAACAATTTTCTTGGTCATGCTATATTATGCGCATAATGGTACATTATTATTTCTATTGTAGCATTATCCATTTTTCATTACCACAAGCACTATAATCACAAGTTTTTATGTTATGCAAAACCTTTCAGATTTTCAAAAGAGAAACAATAAGCACTAGTTTATATAATTCACTGCTGGATTAAGACTGAAATGTCACAATTCCATAAATGTTTTTATGATTCAAAAATTTTAATTACATCTGAATTATGTGAAAGAGGAGCTCTGGGCATAAATTGCTATGAAAATTTTTTGAACAAACTTCATTTTCCAATTCATTCAAACAATGAACAAACCCAATGGTTTAATGTAGGTCTCAAAGCTGTAATATGTAGACTGCTTTACATTTACTGTGTAGGTTATATATAAATCCTCAGCATTAAAGAAGGGTGCATGTTTTAAAAGGATAATTCCACTTGGTTAAATTTAACATCAAATATTACATAATTGTGACATTATGAAAAAAGCCAAGTAAGACTCTCCTTTTCATTGCCACTATAGCTGACTAATCCCTCTTTTTTCTCTTCCCCACCTCTTCCATAAAAATCAAGTTATAAGCAAATCCTGTCATCCCAAAAAAATGTTTGCAATTCTCAAACATTTAGTTCTAAAAGAACAATCTCAAGGTGATTTCCATATACTTAAAGATATGTGATAGCTATGCGTGAGAACACCAGAACTTGACTCTGCAACAATGCAAGTATTTAAAAGGTAGACAGAAAAGCAACAAGTCTACTTGACAATCAGACTAAATGGGAGTAAAAATTAAACTCAGCATGGCTAAAACAACAAACTGCCTGGAATATGAGACATGTTATAAAGAGATGGGACATAAAACTGAATTAAATGGGTATGTCTATATTCTAGAGTTCTCCAAAGACCCAGCACAAATGAGACAATTAGTGCTGTTTGACTAGTTTTCCATGTGTATATTTTTTTTTAGCAAAAAACAACATGGATAGAATATTTCATTAATTTTCTTCAGAATTTCATTAGGCAAGTAAGTTAATGGCCTAAAAAGAGCAAAAACTCCATGCATCCTGCTGCCTGAGAGGAAATGATGTATCAGGACCTGAACAAAACAGCACATATGACACTAGATAAAGTTAGTTAACAGAAGAGGAGCACTTCTCAGAAAGTGAATTGTTATTTTCAAAACACACACACACACACACACACACACACACCTAAATCTATGCTAAGTAACAGAAGTGTCCCACAAGTGAGTAGAGAAATAACACTGTTCATGGGGAAGTTGACAGGGACACGAAATCTGTATACAGGGTAGAATTAAAAGGTGAATTTAGGCAGCTCTGTCGCCTATGACTACGTACAGGTGTCTTTTTTCCTTTTCCTGATAAACCTGTCCTTTATATGTTTAAAAAAATGAACTAAAGGTAAACAGAAATCAGTACTAAAGATTGAAATGACACTCAAAACTATGAGAATGTCCAAGAGGAATATAAAAAATTAAATAAAAAATAAGGCCAACCTCAGTAGCTGCCAGTACCCAGTGGCAATCCTATCCAAGTAAATTTAAAACAAATCCCCCTTCTCTTGAGGTAGTTTGACAGTCTCTGCAGCTCCCAAGCACAAGAGACCAACAGAAGTCAAAAATGATAACCCCATGGGCCTCCCTGGTGGCGCAGCAGTTGAGCGCTGGGTTGCGAAGCTGCCCGCAGCCTCTGTGGCGCCGGTTCAATCCCTGGCTGCTCCCCGGCCACCGGAGGAGGGTCCCACATGGCGTGCAGACCTCTCCTGCCGCCCGCTGCTCCCCTCAGCAGTGTACTTCGGTCCTTCTGCCTGCTCTGCTCCCCGCTCTGGCTCTGGTGAATTCTCTCACCCTCCCGCGCTTCTGACTGTACCCAGTGCTTGTATAAATAAATAAATCTTAAAAAAAAAAAAAAAAATGATAACCCCTTCCAAATACTTCCCTTTTCTTTCTATTGCTGATTGAACAGCATCTTCTGAAATATAAGCCTCCCTTTCCTGTGATAGAGAATCCATTCCAGTAGTTCGCAGGGGTTGATACCACCCACCCAATCTCCACTCTCCTTAGAATATGCACATATTCATTCTTCCTTTCGTTACTGGCTGTCATCTGCTCCCACCCTCACATTCGCCCATGTGCTTTCTCTCAAGCACTCACTTTCCTACCAGGACTCCCACACAAACAGGAATGACTCTGACTCATGCCCAAGCAATTTAAATGCCCACTCCACTAGCCTCAAGGACTTGTTCAGGGCTGTGTATCAGGCCCCAGGCACCAGTACAAGCCCTCCCCATGACCTTCATACAAGAGTGTCAGTGGTCAGGGCCTCCACAGTGGCACAGCGGGTTGAGCGCCGTACTGTGAAGCTGTCCACAGCCTCTGCAGCATGGGTTCGAGTCCCAGCCAGCCAGGGAGAAACCCACATGGCATGGCAGACCTCTCCTGTCTCGCCCACTGGTCCCCTCAGCAGTGTCTTTGTTCTGTCTGCCTGTTCTGCTCCCCGCTCTGTCTCTGGTGAATTCTCTTACCCTCCCACGCCTCTGACCTGTACCCCAGTTTTGTATAATTTAAAAAAAAAAAAAAAGAATGTCAGTGGTCAAACTTTCAAGGAGAAACACCTACTGAGCAGCAGAGAAGAGGCAGAGTTCAGAGATACTACATACTTGTAGTCATAGCATCCTTGGGATTCACGGCCAAGTTTCTCTCTTCCCTTGAACTTCAGAATTGAAGTCCTGGAAGAACTATAATATTTCAGAGCCCTAAATCAAAAAAGTTTATAACAGACTGGGAAACTCACTCCTCTATCTCTAGAGGCAGAGTGATCTAAAAGGACTAGGAACTTTTAAGTTTGTTTCTGAATTGTGCAAATATGAAGTGAGTCAAGAACCCAAACTTGAAAAATACAGACCATAATTGCTTCTTCCATACTTCCCCAAGACCTCTCAGAAGTGGCAAAGGAACAGGCCAGTCCAGTGTTACAAATTTTAAAACCCTATACTTTCCCAGCAAAAATGGTAAGTTTCTAATGAGTGAAATATACACTCACAATTCAAAAGTACTTCCAGCAATTAAATATATTTGTCTATTGTATTTACTATCATTCTTGCTTCACTTGATGACAAGAGAGCAGAAACTGGATTAGTCTTATATATATTAGGTGCACTATGACAGATAAAGAACATTAATCTTCTTACAAAGTAACTGTAATTAGTGAACATTAATTTTAAAAAGCATAACAAAAGTACATGTGAGGGTGGGGAAAATAAACATCTCTTGAATACAGTCAAAAAAAGAGAATGATTGCAATGGCCACTGCACAAAATTTTCCGACTTGTGGAGGAGGGAAAAAAAGGCAAGATTGCTAAACACACATAAAAAATATCTTCTAGAGGGGGAAAAAAAGGAAAATAGCAAGCTAAAATTACTACCTTGGAGGAATAAAGAAAACAAGTATTTTTTTCTTGCAAGAAAAAAAAAAAAGAATAAGGAATAGTTATCAAATGTTAAGAGTTAGAAGTATCCTTTCTACTTAGGCATCCTCTTTTACTTAACAAAGTCAAGGGATGAGAAAAATGTGTCCCCCCCCCCAGGAAGTTAAAAGAGCTTTCAAATTTTATGGAGCAGATACAGGCCAAATGGAATCAATGAATATCATGACATACTTCAGAAATGCAAATGAGGTTTAGCAACAAATCTGACTACTTACATTAAGAAGTAACTCATCTTTTGTTTTAAGTGGAAAACTCTTATTTTCCTTCTCAATCTGTAAATCATCTTCTCCATCTGATAGCACTGGAGGAAGTGATACACGAGAGGAAGATGATGAGGAAGATGATGAGGAAGAGGAGGAGCTTGAACTATCAGAATCTGTTTCACTGTAGAAAAAAGAACGGTTGAAAATTTAGTAAAACCCTATTACAGTGGTATTAAAATAAGTAGGAACTAAGTACTACATGTTTACCAATGCTGGTATTAGCCTTTTAAAGGTGACCGTGTATGGTATTTGGGAAACAGTAAGTCATCACCTAACATCCTGCACAGGTTCTTGGAAACTGACTTTTAAAAGAATGGAAATAGTCTTTTCATACAATGGAGCCAGGTTTGTTTCTCATCAACATTATAATGAAACATCAAAGACCTACTGTAGTCTTTAATCTATTCACAATATTTTCAAATCCCCCACTATAAATCAAACTCTTAAAAGAGTTTTATACAATAAATATGGGAGTTAATATAAGTTAACATGGGACAAATCACTGACAAAAAGAGAACTTGGGGAAAGGAACCTCTTACTAGTCACTAAAGACCAAAAATCTCTTCATTGACAATGAAGAGTTTCTTTTCAGTCTTCAAGTTACTTTTTTTTTTTTTTAATAGAGGCATATTTTATTTATTTATTTGTTTGTTTGTTTGTTTGTTTTTGTTTATACATGCACTGGGTACAGTCAGAAGCGCGGGAGGGTGAGAGAATTCACCAGAGCCAGAGCAGGGAGCAGAGCAGGCAGAAGGACCGAAGTACACTGCTGAGGGGAGCAGCGGGCAGCAGGAGAGGTCTGCGCGCCATGTGGGAACCTCCTCCGGTGGCCGGGGAGAAGCCGGGGATCGAACCGGCGCCGCGGAGGCTGCGGGCAGCTTCGCAACCCAGCGCTCAACCACTGCGCCACCGGGGAGGCCCTCTTCAAGTTATTTGCACACTCAAAGTCACCAACTATACTGACCACTCTACGATCTGATTACCCCTTTAGCCCCTGACTTCCACAGCAATTTTTGTTACAAATAAGCCTGCTCTTAATTTAAATTGTCAGATAGCCCTCTTCATTTCTTTTTATTGCTGTTTCTAAGGGTTTCATCTTCATCTTCTCTTCCCATGAATAACCTCATTCACTCCATGATTTCAATCATTATCCTCATGCAAATACTGATAATCTTCAGGCTTGACAACTCTAAATTTCAGCCTAATTTTTAGCTGCATTAACTGGTCACTTCTACATGAATAACATAAAATAGCAAGAAAGGAGGTACACTTTTCTTTCTTAATCCACTTCTCTCCTTTAAATCTATTTTATTTCACTAGAGGAATGCAAATTCACACAACGAAATACCACCTCTTGCCTGTTAAGAGGGTCATCATCATAGACAAGAGGAAACAAAGATGGGTTGGATGTGGAGAAAGGGGGATCCTTTGTGCTCTGTTGGACAGATTGTACCACTGTGTATTAGTACAGTCACGATGCACAACAGTATGGAGGTTCCTCAAAAAATTAAAATTAGAACTACCGTAAGATCCAGTGATCACTTTTCTGGGGAAAAGATCAAAAGGAAATTAAAACACTAATTCAAAAGATATCTCCTCCCCTATATGCAGATATGACATCATTCATAGCAGCACTATTTACATCAGTCAAGACATGTAAACAAATTATATCTATTTATGGAGGACTGGATAAGGCAGATGTGGCATATATACACAATGGAATATTATTCAGTCATAAAGAAAAAGGAAATCCTACCCTTTGGGCCACCATGGATGAACCTTGAAGGCAATATGCTAAAAGTGAAATGTCACAGGGGGAAAGACAAATACTGTAAGATGTCACGTAATGTGAAATCTAAAAAAAACAAAAAAACAAAAAACCTCAAAGAGAGATCAGACTTCAGACTACTTATGGTTACCTGAAGCACAGGATGAGGGCACACTGGTGGAATATGTTCAAAAGGTAAACTTTCAGTTATAAAATAAAGGACTAGGAATGTAATCAACACAATTATTGTTAACACTGCTGTAATACATACAGGAAAGCTACTGAGGTTAGATCCGAGGTCTTGTCATAGGAATCTTTTTTTTTAATCATGTGTTTGGATGTGAACTGAACTTACTGTGGTAATCATTTCACAATACATGTAAATTGAACCATTATACTATACATCTTAAACGTACTCCATGATGGCTTTTCTTGATAAAACTGAGGGGGTGGAGATGCATAGTGAAGAATTTACAGGTATGGTGGAATGCTTTAAAATCAGGATTTAGGGCCTCCCTGGTGGCGCAGCAGTTGAGCGCTAGGCTGTGAAGCTGCCCACAGCCTCCACAGCACTGGTTCGATCTCCGGCCACCAGCGAGGGTCCCACCTGGCATGCAGACCTCTCCTGCCGCGCCCACTGCTCCCTTCAGCAGTGTATTTTGTCGGTCTGCCTGTTCTGTTCCCCACTCTGGCTCTGATGAATTCTCCCACCCTCCCGTGCTTCTGACTGTACCCAGTGCGTGTATAAATAAATAAATCTTAAAAAACTTAAAATAAAATAAAATAAAAATTTAAGATTTGCTTTAAAATTTGCAGGTTAAATAACAGAAATGTTAGAGAAAACAAGATTTGCAAAAGTTTTATCTTTTATCTGTTATGCTCAAATGTACATCTCTGGACCAGAATTGTCCTCCAAACTCTAAATGTTATCCTACTGCTCAACTGACATGTCCTATTGGCTGTCAGAGAAGTCTCATATTTACTGTCCACATTTGCCATTCCAACTGGCCTCCAGCCCCCATTTCAGCTAAGGTAAATGGGGGATCAGACTTATGGTTACCTAAAGCACAGGATGAGTACCCTGTACCACCTGAGTAACCTGAACCACCACCCACCCAGTTGATGCCTTGGTTTTAGCCCTCTGCCTTATCTATTAGCATACTTGTTGCAAATGACTTAAAAATATTTCATCCAGACAACCATGGTCTCATTATGGACTAATGCAATATCTTTCCTACTGTTTGCACACTGGTTGTGTTCCACTCATGCTTCTCTGCTTTCACTCTTGAATCCAGCTCAAGTCCTCTACAGAGCAAAGCATGCTGGAATGTTAAACTGAACATGCCATTTCTCTATCTAAAATTCTGCAATAGCTTTTCTGACAATTAGAATTAAAACTTTTAACCATAGAGTCCTATAGGATTGGACTCTCCTCTATTACTTTCTAATAATTTCACAATTCACCTTGCTTGGTCCATCAAATTTTCATCAATTATAATTTTATCCATGTGGTTACTAAGAGTTTTCATCCTCTCACTACAAGGATCATGTCTATTTTGTTCACCTGTTCAGTATCCCACATAACAAACTCAATGTTTGTAATCAACGTTCAGTGTGGTTTAGTAACATACTATATGCTTTAAGTCCTTTCCCATCACAAGGTGTCATATTTAAAAGCCACAGGTGTAGGGGAAGGTTAGTAGAGAACACTCATAAGACCTACGCAGAGCTTAAATAATACTAAATAACAATACCTCTCTCATTTTAAGAACATGTGATCCCTTTAAGGATTCTACAAATTAACAAAACTGTCAGGAGTCAATTTAGAAACACAAAAGAATCCTTTAACTAATATTCAGTCTATCTACTTCGAAAAACCAGATCAGGGCCTCCCTGGTGGCACAATGTGTTATGCACCTCACTATGAAGCAATCCACAGCCTCTGCAGCACGAGTTCGATCCCCAGCCAGGGAGCAACCCACATGGTGCAGCAGACCTATCCTGTCTCGCCCGCTGCTCCCCTCAGCAGTGTATTTCAGTCAGTCTGCCTGTTCTGTTCCCCAGTCTGTCTCTGGTGGATCCTCTGCCTGTACCCCACCTCTTGTATGCATAATAAATCTTTTTAAAAATTTTAAAAATAAAGAAAAACCAGATCACACGCCGAAGTTTATGAAATGCGAGTCTGACACAAAACTCAAAATTATAGCCACAACTGGAGGGCCCCAAATGAATACTGCAATAATCACAGAACCTCGTTTTTCACATTCTACCTGAAAATGACAAAATTTACATAAGGCCTTCAGATGACTATATTTAGGGAAGAGCGGTCTGATTATCTGACTCCGATTCACAACGCAATTCGCAGTGGACGCGAGGAACGGGCGGCCCCCAGCACAGGTGAACTCCCGGCCCGCGCGGGCACCCCCCGCCCGCAGGCCCCGCCCCTCGCAGCCCGTAGGGGACACGAGGCCTCTCCCCGCAGCTCCGGGACCAGCAGGCAGCCCGACCTGTCGGAATCCGAGTCCGAGGTTCCCAGGGGGTCCGAGGTCCGGGGCGGCTCCGCGGGGCCGGGGCCGCAAGTCCCGCCGGGCGTCGGTTCGGCCGGCAGCGCCGGGCCCTCGGGGGCTACAGGGCTCCGCGCGGGCTGCGGCTGCTGCTCCTCCGCAGGCTGAGCCTCCGTGGCCTGCCCAGTGTCGGGGGTCTCCCCTCCGACTGGAGGGGTGGCCGCGGCTCCGGGGCAGCACTGGAACCCCGAGACACCGCTGCCTGACCTTGGTCACCCCCAAAGCCGGTGCCATTGAACTTCAGAGTTTCCAGCTGAGCGGCGGCTGCCTCCACTACTTCCATGGCGTCGCGCCGGAGCCCTCGTCAGGCTCACGTCCCGGGCGCGCCGACGAGCTCGCGACTCTCCCGGGGAAAGGGAAAATCACGTCGGCAGCGGACGTAGCAGCAGCGCCGGCGTCCGAATTCCCGCGGTTCTCCGGTAACCACACGCGGGGCAGCCCGCAGACACGCCCCCGCCGCCGACTCGGCGCACTTCCGGGAAGCGCGTGACGTCACGCGACGCGACGGCGCCCGCCGGGGGCGGGGCAGCCCCGGGACGCTCGGAGAAGGGACTTGCGGTGTTGTCTGTTGTCGCGGAGCCGCGGCTCAGCCTGCGAGTCCGGAGGGTTAGACTTTCCTTTTCCCGGACCTGGTTTCTGCCCCCAGCGAGGGAAGCAGGAGGGTTAGTGGGACGTGAGAAAAGCCTGAATGCGCGGTGCGCTGCGCTGTGCAGCGGAAAACTAAGTCAGCCAGTCCAGCAGACGCTGGTAGGAACTTCAGGAAAGTTAAAAGAGGTTGAGACATTGATGTAAGTTAAAGCGTTGAGGTTAAATTATTGTCATTCACCTAAAATAAAAGTACTACAACTGGGCCTCCCTGGTGGCGCAAGGGGTTGAGGCGCAGCCTGTGAGGCTGTCAGCAGCCACTGCAGCGCGGGTTCTATCCCCGGCCCGGAAGCTACCCACATGGCACGGCAGACCGCTCCTGTCTCGCCCGCTGCTCCCCTCAGCAATGTATTTCGGTGGATCTGCCTGTTCTGTTCCCCACTCTATCTCTGGTGGATCCTCTCGCCTGGCGCACCTCTGGCCTAGTGCCCCAGTTCTTGGATGCAGAAATGGGTAAATCTTTAAAAAAAAAAGAAAAGAAAATACTACAACTATTTCACTTTTTGCAAGGACTCTCAGAATAAAGGAAGCAGGAATGGTGAAAGGTACATTGCTGTTTGTTGATGTTATGGTGTCTGTATTATAAACACTGCTTCATAGAAAGTGGAATGAGACTAAAATGTAAAAACTTAGCCTGGGAAACCATTACTCTAGATCATAAGGAAGGCAAGCAAAAAGTTCTTAGGATTGAGGTCAGAGATGAGAATTTTCTGGCTTCCTATTAGAACTTCAATTTGAGGCATCAGTCCCTTAAGTAATAATAAGTACACACTGATACCAGTTATTAAGAGTACATATGTAGCAAGGACTGTGCTAAGTATTTTATCCATTATTCACTGGAAATGTATTGTGTGCCCTCCACAATAGTAGACCTTCCTAGAAAGTTAAAACTAATAGTACAGTCTGTGGGTTTGTTAGGGGGAAAGGATGTCCTGAGATAATCTCATACAGGCTTTGTGGACTCCACCCCCACTCCAGACTAAAGCCATCAGGACATTGGGAAAGACAAATCCCATCACCACCAAGGGGAGGGTGGCTGGGACCTGAGGGTGGAGTTGGGCAGCCAGGTTGGATATAAAAACCAAACACGTGGGCCTTGCTCGCTCTCTGGCTCGCGATCGCTCGCCTCCTGGCTTCACCGCTCCTGGCTGGCGGCCAACTGAGAGCGCCATTTTGGGATTCCTGATCGGCGGATCGGGTAGGACGCATTTAAAACTTTGTCTCCCACTTTTCTCCCAGAGCTGTACATTTCCTCATTTCCCTTTCCGTTGTAAATAAACCTTTTATTAACCTTTCACGTGTGCCTGCAGTAGAGCATTGATAAGTCCTTTTAAGCGCGCGGGTGAGGACCCACAGTCAGGCACCCCGTTTTGTATCGGGGTTGCTCTACAACAGGTTTAGGGAGCTTACAAACTAACTGAAGTAAAATGGTCAATGCACATGAGATAACTAAAAAGACTTGAAATGTGGAATAGAAGATGCAAGTTCAGCAGTAATAGGGAAGTAATACTGATGGGCTGTGTCTTGGAAATCCTTCAAAGACAAGCAGGATTTAATCTTGAGATACTGGAAATACCAGAAGTATTTGGAAATAGGAGACTGTAACCAGACCCCCTTCATCTCATAATGGTAAATAGAATAAAATGGGTTAAAGTAAGAATCAAATATTGAGCTCACTCCGTCACTTTCCCTTCCTGTGTAATTTACTCTTGAGCTGCATTCCTGGGAACATTGAGAACTAACTGTATTAATTCTACAACAGAATTAATTGTACCCCTTCAGGGATAAAGAAATCAGGGCAAGCCCCTGCCGGCAGCTAAGGATGGTGAGCCGGCCCCACCCCACCCCCAGGAGCACACTCTGCTGGAAAATGTAGACATTTAACTCCTGATGGCTGCACCACCTGGTGCCTCCCCAGCACTGGCAATTTGAAGCCCCTCACTCTCTTTATGCCCCACATCTCCCCAAATTCCTCCTTCGTGTATAATCAAACCCCTTCAGGGCCTGCTTATTAGGGAGCTAACACAGTTGCCAGCTCCCTTGGTGGCTACCTCATAATAAGCTCCTCTGAATAGATATATTCTTATGGTTTAAAGTTTGACTTTCTGGGCATGAGAGAATGATCCAGTTTGTTTGTTTACAATTGAATTTTGATAGGAAGGTCAAAAACAAACAGGTTTTGGAACAATTCAAATACTGTGCCATATGCTATGCTCTTGTCCAGAAAGCCAAACTCTGAACCATGAGGGAGAATGGAAAACAAAAGCTACTTTGAAAGGGAACGGCTAAGAAAAGGAAATCTTTCCCTGTTAAAGAGTCATAGAGCTGGAAATACAAAGTAAATAACAAGTATGCTTCCTTAATAAGCATATGTAAACAAGGTCTGGCAACCTGCTAGGCTGATTGATCTCCCAGGCCATCCTCAAAGATCTTCATCCTTCCCCTTTTATTGTGTCAAGAATTTGTATGCTAACTAACCAATGTTATCAATGTAAAGTGGTTATGTATAAAAGAGACCCTTTGTCCCCAGACTGGTGCTCAGACCTTACGGGGTTACCCAGGGCTGGGACCTCATGCATGAGTAATAAAGCTTCTCCTGACCTCACCATTCCTGAAGTACTGCTTGTTCTTCCCCTGCTTGGGTAAAATGCTAGAATTTATTTCTGCAACACTTTGTATTCGATTCTGTTTAGTTTAACCTTTTCTATTCCAAGAGATTTTAGGTCTGGCTAGAGAATTGAAAATTGCAAGCAGTAAATGCTGTTGTAGAGAAGTGTGTGATAGTAGAAGTGTTGGAGTCTGTGGGTTTGGAGTGCGGGGTCCTTGCGTTCACTCTGGGAAAGGTTTCACCAGAGTTCCCTTTTCAGCAACGTACGGTGAGTTCCCCAGGCAAGTTTCTCCTCGAGACAGAGACATTAGTTATATTTAAAGGGCAGGTTTATTAGGGTAGGGATAAAACAGTTAAAGAGACTTGCAAAGACACAAACGGGCAGGAAGAGCTGTCCAAGAAGGGACAGGTTTGCTAAAAGAGGCTTGCATGTTTGCAGGCGGGCAGCCTTGACAGGTCACGGGCAGGCAGGAAGGCTGCTGCCCTGCAGAGGGAGAGAAATGGTGAAAAAAGGCACCTGCATAGTCATGGGCAAGATGACAGCCCCGAGCCAGTGCAGAGACTGCACTGATATAGTCTTCTTCTGTTTGGCAGGGCTCACTCCTTGTGAGCTGTCATTTGGTTGCTAATTTTGGATAACTATGTAGAATTTGAAAGGGACCAGAGATTCTTCAATGGGCTCAATCTCCATATCTTTATCTTTGGGGTTCTGCTGGGCTCAATCTCCATATCTTTAGACTGCACCTCTCCTCCGGATACTAGTGTCTGCAACTGTGTGGATGGTTATGCTAATCTCTTCTGTCCCCACTATTCTTGTCTTCCATCAGAAGCATGTTTTATAGAGATGGCTGTACAAATGGGAATTGTAAAGAGGAAGTACTCTGAAAGGAAGACTTTACAATAAATATGACATTTGAGCTGGCCCTTTGATGAGAACCATGAACTTGGTAATATGAAAAAGTAGGCAGACTTCCTACAGGAGAATAAATAAGATCATGTAATTTCCTGCTTAAAACCATAAATATTAGTAATCATGCCACATCTGCTTTGGTCTTCAAAGCTTTACCTGATCTGGCTGCTACTTATCCCTCCAATTTCCATCTCCTGCCACTCTCTTCCCCTTTGTTGCAACTTTTCTCACTGATCTTTATCTCCTTTCAACAACAGATTTATTCTCTACATATGGCATTTTCATTTTGCTGTTTTCTCTTCTCTTTATATGGCTCCTTGCTTATTTCACTCATGTCTCTACTTAAATGCCATGGCCTAGATAGGATTTTCCAGACTACATAATCTAAACATACCCCCAAAGCCAATCACTCTCTAGTTCATTTCTCTTTGTATAAATAGCACTGATTTTCATATAAACTGTCTTATTTATTTTCGCTGTTTTCCCACAAATTGAGTCTTATGTACCCACATTACTAATTCACAGCCGTCTTTCAGTATCCAGACCAATAACAAACCCTAAAAGAATTTTTTTTTTAACGGAAGAGTGAAGAAAAAACAAAGTTTCTCAATCACAGTAAAAGAGAAATGATTCACAGATAAAGGTATGGATGGCACCTATGTTATTCAATTTAAATGAATCTAATGCTATCTAAGTGTAACAGGGTGGTCTCCAGGAAAGGGGGAGGTTCCCTGCCCCCCCAAGGGAGGGTGGAGCTGAGCAGGAAGAGGAGAAGCAGCAGAAGAGACTGAGGAAGGAAGCAGGATGGAGCCAGGAGAGAGACCTGGAGGAGGCGCATGGAGCCTAGAGACACGTGAAGAAACTGCGCTTGTCTTTTGGTTGTGGACTGGGTGACACAGATGTGGGTGAGACCCGTGGGGAGGTGACCATGGCAGCTTTTATCTTGATGTTGATTTTGCTCTTTTCCTTCCGGGCTTGTCTGGTTGTTTCTGACCCTTTTTTGTGGGTCCCCACTGGAAGATGCTTTAGACTTGTGGCAGGCTTTGGGGCCTTGCTCTGCGCCATTCCCATATGGATGGACTTTTACCCACGAGGGGATGGGTAACTTTGGGTGCTTCATTTAGAAACTAGACTCTTTGCCTTACCTGTATTGTTTCCTAGTTTTATTTTATTTTTTTTTTTTAAATCTTTTTATTTTTTTTTTTTTTATAGAGGCATGTTTTATTTATTTATTTTGTTTGTTTGTTTGTTCTGTTTACACATG